TTTATCTCTTTGCAAGTGCTTTCATTTCTTTCGCAATTGGGTGGCATTGTCTTTCATTGTGAATTTGCACTTGGGAAATGACCAGGATCGTAACACCTGTTGCATACAAAGGATCCAGACCAAACAATCAGGAAGAGATGGGAAATGCTGGGAGACAAAAACAGAAAAAATCACATGCAATGACCCGTGCAAATCGCAGTCCGAGATTTCGGCAATTTCTGTGAAATTGCTGTTCTCATGTGTTTTGCTGTGTTTTCCAAGTGTGCATGTGCTATGACGCAATTGTAAGTATGCTGTGTGCTTGCCTGAGTCGAAGTCTGGGGCTGTGTGCTAACTCTGTTGGCCATGCTGTGTGGGTGTACCTTGGACAAGGAGAAAGTAGTAATAAGGCTATGGTCGGGGACAATACGGGAAGCTAGTGGTAGGGACACAGTGGAGGTAGTGTAGCGGCACGGCACATGCGTAGAACTTGCAACCGTCTTCACCCGAATAGAACACCCGGTCATTATAGCCGTACTTGGTGCAATTTCCAGTCCAGATACAGCTATAATGACCAGGAGTTGTATTCGGGTAAAGACGGTAATCGGGATTGTCTGGCAAGTCGGCTGGGCTTGGAAGGGTCTAGTAGCTGTCCAGTAGGTATTAATGGTCCAGGGCCCAAATCTAGGTGAGTACAAGTCTCAGTTCAATATTATGATTCTGGTTGTCTGTTGTCTGAAGACCAACACTCACTCACAAAGACTTCCAGGTATGCCCATACATACACAGAAGGAAGGGGAGAGGATAGGAGTATCACACCGCACAGGGAGAGATAAACACAGCAGAAGACTTGACCATGCGATATGATAGGGTACACTGAAAGTGCAATTCACTCAACTCAATCCTCACAACCAGTCATAAAGGAAAGCCGAGTAGATCACATCCAGGAAAACCATGAAACGATGATAGTGAATTCAAACTCGTCTTCCTGTCACTTTGTCATGCCTGCAAACAGCGGTACAGCAACTGGYGACATGCGCCCACACAGTACTCAAGATATCGTAACTAGATATGAGTTCTCTTCAACTGGCTATGGCGACTGGGCGCCCACACAACTCACTGTTCGCACCCTGGATCACCTTGGATGTCCCACACGCAACACTCAGTATCATACACAACACACACACCTACTATGCTACAGCTATGG